CCAAAAGGTCACATGATTAAATTAAAGAGTCAAAAGAGTTCTTAAACTAGAATTAAGGAGACAGGGAAGAAAGCCCTTCAGTGTTAGCAATCACCCCTTGGCCCGTTTACCCTTTGATGTGCAATTGGACCAGATCAGAATCCTAAAAACTCCAGCAGCAAGGTTCACCCTTCTCCCTCCACAGATTTATCATATACCTGACCCAATTTGTGTGTGTGTGTGTGTATGTGTGGTTTATACCAAATTAAAAGAGTGCTGACAAGTTAATTTCCATTTCTCCCATCTTAGTTTTTTAAAATTGTCTTATGTGTGGGATGTCTTGCCTACACACCTTGTGCATCTTGTGTGTGCATCAGGTATGTGAAGACGCCAGAAGAGGGCGCCAGATCACCTGGAACTGGAGTTACAGACTGTTGTGAGCCACACACAGTATCACAAAGGATAAGAAAATAAATAGGTTGGATGGAAACTACGAAATTCATAATAAACACTGTTTCAGTGAAGGAAGAAGAGGAGGGGCCCAAGAGGGCTTCGACATTATAGTGCTTTTTGTTTTCTGAGACAGAGTCTTCTGATCCCAAGCTGGCCTCAAATTGCTGTTTATCATAGAATGATCTTGAACTTCTGATCCTTCAGGCTCCACCTCTCAAGTGCCAGCAATATAAAAATGGGACACCACACCTGGCTGAATTCTTCATGGGGAAAAAAATCTCAACCTTAAGATTATATGTAATCTGTATGGGGACAGTGTTATCCCCAATCTTGTTTTCACCAGTGTGTCCTAATCACTTGTGGCAAACTCACACCGACCCACCTCCTTCTCCTCTTCCCCTCCCCCCCATACCTCCCAGGAGAGGAAGGCTTGGAGCTTCATATGCCCTCTTTGCCATGCAAATGAACATTCTAGTTAAAGTTGTCTCATTATACAGCTACAAACTCAAAGACCAAGGAGTCAGAAAAGTCTGAGATATATAGTCTTTCCATGGGGAGAGCACACCAATGGGCTGCTATCCAGTACCAAATGGTCAGCCCTGGAACCATGCATACAGGTAATGGTATACAGACTGAGCAGAATATATTTAGGAATATATGTGTATATACATATCCATGTATACATATAACAACAATGAAAAAGGAGATCATGCATTTGAAAGAAAGCAAAGAGGAGTGTATGGAAGGATTTGAAGAGAGGAAAAGGAGAGGGAAAATGATATAATTTCAAGAATAAATAAGAGGAAGGAAGGAAGGAAGGAAGGAAGGAAGGAAGGAAGGAGGAGGCCTGCCACAGGCCATCAATCTGAGATCTGACTGGGCATGTATTTCAAAGGGCCCATTCCTCCACAGAGCCTATGGGATGGCAGGAGGAGTGAACAGCTAACAAACTGGACAGGACGTGTTCCCTGTTAGTGTCACACTGAGGTGTCCAGAGGAGCTGGGTCAGCCTCACAGACGAGTCATTGGCAAGGGACTGCAGCAGCAGCTGCAAGGTCAAGGGTTATCAAAGTACACCACGGGTTCCCTCCCTCCCGCTCATCTTTGAAAACCAGATCTGAAAGAAGAAAACCTTTACGAGCAAAAAAAAAAAAGTATTTATGGCATACATAAATAAAAACCAAAAGAGCCTCACAGAGTGTTTTTTATGGTGCCTTACAGAAGAAATAAACAGGAACCATGGCCCCCACATGCTCTTAGCTGATTCTCGAACTGACCCTCGGGGTGTGAGAAAGAAGCCCCTAGGTTAGCTGGGAGGTCACAAAACCTATGCTCTCAGGACAGAGAGGAAATGTAACAGGCAACTCAGTACAGACCAGAATTTAGTAAATGTCTTGGGATGACTTCATTTCTCTTTCCTCGCCCCCACACACATCCCTAACTTAAACTCCAGCCAGCAAACCCAAACACAGGCAAAACAAAGCCTAACGACAGTGTGCTCCAAAAGCAGGACACCTCTGTAGCAAATGTATTCTACATTGCCCCTACTTTTACATATGAAGGAAGAACAAGAGAAAAGCTTACCCTGACAACTGTGTACCACTTATTCCTGTAGTACAGACACTGTGTTCTGTGCCTCTTAGGGAACACCAACACACACAGTGTGACTGCCCTTCCTCAGGGTCCTTGACCAAGGATGGGTCTGAGTTCATGCCTACTTCACACACTTTGAGCTCCACCTTTAGGATTGGGCACAAAGCAAGCATTCACCAGGAGTAGGAGTTAAGGCCTTTAAAGACTTCTAGTTTTAGTACCTCATTTTTGCATAGGTAAATCTTCTATAACTACAGACTGTCAAAATCAATAGGAAGATTCTGTTGAGTATTTTTCAACTAAGTACAATGGGAAAACTGTCTCTCGTGTTTGACTGATAAATCAACCCAAACCATAGACCTTTTTGCTTTTGTTTTTCATGACAAGAGTCTCTCTATGTAGCCCTGGCTGTCCTGGAACTCACTCTGTAGACCAGATTGGCCTCCAACTCAGAGATCCACCTGCCTCTGCCTCCCAAATGCTGGAATTAAAAGCATGTGCCACCACTGCCCAGACTCAAACCATACAACTTAACATGAATAAATAGAAACATATTAGTGGGGCTGGAGAGATGGCTTAGTGGTGAGGAACACACTAGCTGCTCTTCCAAAGAACCCTGGTTCAATTCTTGGCGATCACCTGTTGGCTTACAACTGTCTATAACTTGTGTTCCAGAGGATCCAATGCCTTTTGGCCTCTGAAAGCATGTGGTGTACAAACATACATGCAGGTAAAACCACCATTCACATAAACACACTGGTGTATGACACAACAGGAACCAGATTAACACCACCACCCCACCACCACCCCCTGCCACCCCACACTGCTTATTCATTTAAGAAACATCCAAGCCTATTGTGGTTAAATAGCAAACACAGTGATTTATGACTTCAAGGTGGATGTCACTGGAGGAATGTAAATTGGGACAACCACTTTGGAAAAGGAGCATCACAAATGACTATTCATAATTGCCCAAGGCCACAAACAATCCAGATGTTCATCATATCGTTTGTAGTAAATCTACCCCAAATGAATCAACTATAATCTCACACAATATAAATTAATCTTTAAAAATCATAGTGCTGCCGGGCGTTGGTGGCGCACGCCTTTAATCCCAGCACTCGGGAGGCAGAGGCAGGAGGATCTCTGTGAGTTCGAGGCCAGGCTGGACCGACAGCCTCCAAAACAATACAGAGAAACCCTGTCTCATAAATACCAAAAAAAAATCATAGTGCTGGGGCTAGAGTGATGGCTCAATGGATAAGAGTACTGGCTGCTATGACAGAGGACACAGGTTCAAGTCCCAGTCCCCACAAGGCAGCTCACAACTGTCTGTAACTTCAATCTTGGGGGTCTGAGACCCTCTTCTGGCCTCCTTGGGCACCATACAAACATGCAGCTGAAACACCCATATGCATAAAAATATACAAATAAAAAATTTTAAACACTATAGTACCTGAATTTACACAATTATTTATGTATTGTGTATATATATGATGCCAACCAAAAGACAGATCTAAGCCTTGTGTGGTGGCACATACCTATAATTCCAGCACTTGGGAAGCAGAGGCAGGCAGATCTCTGTGAGTTCAAAGCCAGTCTGGTCTAAAGAGTGAGTCCCAGGACAGCTAGGATTACATACAAAAACCCTATCTCAAACAAACAAAAACAAGAAAACCTACAAGAATGTTGCATAAAGGTGGAAGAGGAATGAACAGCTGTGCTGTTTAGAGGTTTGTACTTAGGAGGTAAAAGCCATAGAAAAAGGAGATTATTTCTCTTAAAGTCAATACAGTAATTGGCTGTCTTGAAAAAGTGTGGGGGGGGGAGTAGATGGAGTCTGCTTCTTGGCCTATGAGATTAGTTACATTTTCTCTAAAATACCTCATCAAGTTACCTTTTCAGTGTATTCCTTTATCTTCCTGTCACATTTAAAAGGTTAAGTAAATACGTCATTGACCAGCAGACAGGGAAAGAACCTGTTCTCTTTGAATGTCACTGTTACTCAGCATCTAAGGTCAGGGCCCTCATCTGCCCTCTACCTCAGTACTCAGCCCAATGCCTCTGGAACAGCAGAACTACTTAATAAAGGTTTGCTATGTAAACCCATGCACTGCTGGCATGCTGACATGAATTGTGTTACACGGAGCCCTTTTCCTGACATTGCCTATTTGAGCTGTGACCCCCATTAATGCTTTCCTTTCTGTTGTGTCTCCCCAGTGATGCTATCATAAATAATGAAGCTACCACCTTAAATGCCAGCTCTGTAAGTTTATACCCAGGCTGCCTCGGTTGCTTTAGCAACTCTCCCTGCCTTCCACTCCCTCTTGTGTCTCCTCTCAGCAAAGACAATTCGCTGCTGTTGGCCATGCATGTTTGTGTTTTAATAGGAAAGTTTCCATTTTGCACCTGAGAGTAAAGCCAGGCATCATGATGATTCAATTACTTTCAAGTTGTTTGTGAAGGGCTCATTTGCCTGTCGCTGGAGAAATACTAAGCTGCAGTCAGAGTTAACATAATTTTACAACCAATTGTACTTAAAAAGCATGCTACCTGTTCTAGAAAGCAAATCCCTATAAACAGGAGCAGCCAACTTTAAAATAATTTTGTTAACAAATCACTTATGCAAATACACATCTATGAAAATGTGGGGAAGGATCCAGGAGATATCAACAGAAAGACACACAGCCATTCCTTTGAAGATGATTAAAGGAAAACAAGGACCTCATCCCTAAAGTTTTAAGTTTTCATACAGAATGAGCAAAGCCTTTTTTGTGATGCTGGGAAAATATTTTGAAACCATCTTGTTCTAAAACAAAATCCCACATGCAAAGACATACACCTAAAAGCTCTTTGTTAACACTAATTTTAGTAACGATGTCTTGAAAGATTTCCCAGACTTAGAGTCTCTAGCCATTTCTTAGGATAGGAGTAAATCTGTATACTATTCGGTTAAGGGATCAGAGAATGCATACCTGCAGTCAGTCAGTAGCAAAGATTTCCGAGGAGAACTCGGCTCAGCGGCGCTCCACAAGGATGCTGAGAAGACTCGAATGAAGCCAACTGTCTCCCGTTTTATGGGGGAAAGCCAAAAATACCAAGCAGCTTTTCTCCTCCCCCAGCGTCAGAGGTGAGTCAGAGCTGGAGGCAGGAGTGGGGCCCATGTGTCAAGCCGCCTGTGCAGGGCTCCTTCCTCCCTCCTTCCTGGGAATTCTCGGCCCTCATCTGACCTGATGTGAATTCTTAAGGTGTCTCTGGCGAGGAAGATGTGGTTACACATTCTGAGGGAGCCTCATTCCTCCGTCTCTCAAAGGAACTGAGACTAAGCCCTTTATGAGCCCACAAAAGACAACGGCAAAATTGCAGCCCTAAACACACAACTTTGCAAAGAAGACATACAGCACCTTTGTTTCCCCCGTTTTTAAAAGCAAGCAATTAGAAAAAAAAAACTTGCATCTTGTCAAAGGACACCTAGATTTGTGGGAGAAGACTGCAGCTGCAGACCACGACCCTGGCCTCTCTGACCTTTCATTGACCTCAGGAAGGCTATTTCGGTATCCCAAGAAACTTAGAAGTGGCTTTTAGAGGCGCAAGAATTGCAGGAAACTGCCTTAACTCTTGGGCCACATTTCATTAAATTCAGTTAAAAATCAGAATCTTTGCCTCCGTTTTTACATCTGCAAAATGGGAAAGCACAGCTTTGCCACCTACCTCTTACAAACCCCACTGAAAACTAACCAGCGAGTATAAGCCAAATGCCTAGGGCTCTCCCGAGTGGAAAGTACAAGGTGTTGTTTTAGTATCCCTAGACAGTGAGACTACTGGTAAACCACCCCGCCTTCCCTTGCCTCCAAGATGCCCAGTTACCACAACATTAGCCGGTGCCACTGGCAACATCCACTTCAATACAAGGTAGTTATACAATCCACGTAAAGCGGCTACACCACTTGGCTCCCTCCCCTACCCCAAGCTCAGCACAGCTCAACTTCGATCCAAAGCAAGGAGACTTAGGAGAAATAAGAGCCATATGTGAGCACTGCACACACCAATCTACCACCGCTAAGTTGAGTACTTAGCATCGCAGAAAGCCAAGAGTTTCCAAGAGCTGGCGGCGCCGGTCGCGGGTGCATGCCAGCAGAGGTTCAGGGATCCCAGCCAATCCCACCCTGCGCCCCGAGACCGCTGGGCACTCGCACAAAGTTTGCAGTGCCGAGGGTCGCGCGGACCCGGGGCCTCTGGCGTCCCCCGCACTCCGTACCGAGAGTCCCAGCTGCGGTGGCGGCTCTCCGGTCCGTGCTGCTACCCTGCTCACGGCTTCTGCCCGCCAGCCTCGCGCGCCTCCCCCTCCCTGCGCGCCACCGCCCTCTTCGGAGCGCGGGCCCGCGGCGGGGACGTGCGTGGGTTCCGGGCGCTGCGCGTGCGCGCTGCGGCGCGGGTAGGGCGTCCCGGCCGGGGTGCCTGCTCACCTGGACGCGCTGGCAGACCCCGCTGCAGTTGTCTTCCTGCCCAGTTTCTGGGCTGGCGTTCGTGGGTTCTTGTCCACATGCAGAGAGGTTACTGCAGGTAAGCACGGGATAAAAGGTGTAAGCGTCTCAACCAGTGACTAATCACCACCTCTCAGCCACCCTCGTCTCCTCCCCCCGCGCGAGACAGCCCCGGGTGCTGACACAAGGGTGAAGGCAAACTCACTCTTTTTGGTTTATTTGTTGAGACAGGGTCTTACTATGTAGACCAGGCTGGCCTCAAACTCACTAAGATCCACCAGCCTCCGCCTCTGCCTCCCGAGTGCAGGGATTAAAGACGCCTGCCACCACGCCCCCAACTAACTCTTCTGTCCCTCAACTGCTGAGTGAATTGTGATGGATAGGTGTGGGCAATTTCGAGTACCTGGGAAACTCCAACAGAGGCAATAAAGACCCCCAAACCACTGACACTACGCTGACGCACTGACAGTGACCATCCACGCTCCTAGGTACTGCCCGGGCTGGCATGTGGATCCCTTGAAATTTATTTGCTCTCGTTCTGGAGGGCTCACTCTCTCCCCTCCTCCCTCTTTCCTCTCCTCTCTCCCCCTCTCCCCTCTCCCCCTCGCCCCTCTTTCCTCTCCTCTCTCCTCCTCTCCCCTTTCCCCCTCTCTGTTTCCCACTTATAACGAGCAGATGCACTTTCTTTAATTCCACCCTGCTCTCCCCTCCACCAGCAGAACTGAGGGAGGACACAGGGGAGATAGGAAAGACTTCCTCTAGCCTCTGCAGTGAGTCAGACTCCAGGAGTCCTGACTTGGTGCCCGGTGCTGTGCTCACCGGAGCCATGTCCTCACTGTAGCAAAATAGTAGGCATCAGAATTGGATTTGGGGAAAGGGGACAGGGGAGGAGCACACTGCACTTGGAGTTTGCAGCTTTCAACATCCTCAAGGAAAAGCTTGAAAGGAAGGTCCTTCCTTCCTTCCTTCCCTCCTTCCCTCCTTCCTTCCTTCCTTCCTTCCTTCCTTCCTTGCTTCCTTAATGAGATACCTAATCACCACTGGTCAACAGGATTCAGAGTCATTTTGTGGATGCTGGGGTATCTAGAAGCTTTGTCTACTTCCCAGATGAAAAGATAACACCAAAGGCATTTTAGTGCTAATCCAAGGAGAGCTAAAACAGCCTAGACTGAAGAGATTTGATGCCACAAAAAAGCATCAAGGCAGCCGGGCATTGGTGGCGCACACCTTTAATCCCAGCACTCGGGAGGCAGAGGCAGGCGGATCTCTGTGAGTTTGAGACCAGCTTGGTCTACAAAGCAAGTTCCAGGACAGTCTCCAAAACAATACAGAGAAACCCTGTCTCGAAAAACAAACAAACAAACAAACAAACAAACAAAAAGCATCAAGGCTTTAAAATTAAGCAAAATTAACCTTTTAATGCAAGCAAAGTAGACTAAATTTAGGCTAAAGCACTGAGTTCAAACTATGCTTGGGGAAAGATATCTTCCTGGCACTATATTCCAGCAGTTTACCTAGTGACTTGTTTTTGACATGTCTGTGTAAAAATAGCAAAATCTGCCAGGAATTGGTGGCCCACACCTTTTGTCCCAGCACTCAGCAGACCAGGCAGGGTCCACAGAGTGAGTTCCAGGACATCCAAAACTACACAGAGAAACCCTGTCTTGAAAAACCAAAACAAAACAAAAAAAGCAACATCTCTAATAGAAGTGATTGTATGCTGGTTTCATTTCTGTATGTTCCTCTACAGCAGTGGTTCTCAGCCTTCCTAAAGCTGCAACCCTTTCATACAAATCCTCTTGTTGTGGTGACTCCCCCAACCATTAAATTATTATTATTGTTGTTGTTTCAAGACGGGGTTTCTCTGGGTAACAGCCCTAACTGTCCTGGAACTAGTTTTGTAGACCAGGCTGGCCTCGAATTCACAGAGATCCACCTGCCTCCGCTGCCCAAGTGTTGGGACTAAAGGCATGCACCACCACTACCCGGCCATAAAATTACTTTTGATGTTACTTCATAACTATAATTTTGCTACTGTTATGAATCGTAATGTAAGGTTGTTCAGCCCCCACCTCAAAGGGCCATGAGCCACAGGTTGAGATGCTGTATTACACAGCCATTCAGTTAACTCATGACTCGGCAACATTCCTCTTTAAATTCCAGCCACATCTGTTTCTTGGGTTTGTTTTCTTTTGTTTTTATTTGCATGTGTGAGTAATATCTAGGTGGTGACAAGGCAGAGCTCATTTTCTGTGGACTATAGGAGCTAAGCCTTCCAGGAAAAATCATGCCTTGACCCAAGGGGAGGGAGGAAAGCACCTGTGAACAGAGATCCTTCTTTGTGTTGTGTGTGGTGTTGATGTAGAGTCGAGAAGGAATTGCTGTAATATCTTTTCTGTACAACACAGGTGTCCCAAGAGCCTCTCTGTGGCTACTAAACCCTTGATAGACAGCCTGTATGACCAAAGAACTCATTTTTAAATATTTTTTGTTTGTTGTCTTTTGGTTTTTTGAGACAAGGTTTCTCTGTGTTGCTTTGGAGGCTGTCCTAGAACTCATCTGTAGACCAGGCTGGCCTGGAACTCACAGAGATCCACCTGCTTCTGCCTCCTGAGTGCTGGGATTAAAGACGTGTGCCACCAATGCCCGGCTTTGTTTTTGTTTTTCAACACAGGCTTCTCTGTGTAGCCCTGGCTGTCCTAGAACTCACTCTGTAGACCACGCTAGCTTCAAACTCTGAGGTGTGCCCTACCACTGCCTGGCTTAAAGTTAGTCCTTTTTAATCAATGTAAATTTATTTATTTATCGTACCGATGATTGAACCTAAGGTCTTTGTGCATGACAGGCAAGCACTGTACCAGCTGAACTTTATCTCCCAGACTGGTAACTTCATATTTATTTACTTAATCTGTATGGGTGTTTGCTTACATGTTTGTCTATGTACCACGTGGGGGCCTGGCGCCTGCAGAGAACCTAGACAAGGGCAGTAGATTCCCTAGAACTGGAGTTACATACGTTTATGAGGCACCATATGTGTGCTGGATGTTGAACCCAGGTCCTCTTGAAACACAGTGCTCTTAGCTGCCTTCTCTCCAGCCCCCAAAGAACAGGTCCACCTGCCTCTGCCTTCCCAGTGCTATGATTTACGGCCTATGCCACAAAGCCTGGGTCACTTCAAATTTAAATAGTTACATGTAGCAAATGGATCGGCACTTTCTAGACTATAAATACGTTTATTGATGTCAATTACTTTAGGAGTCATCTGCTACAAAAGTACAGGTTGTAGGTGGCCAGCCAGGATTTGGGTCCTCCTGGCCACAACCACTTAAGTGGTACTTTGGAGCAGTGCAGTGTCTTCAGAGTGAGATATGGTTTGACAACAGAGCTGATTCCACACTAATGTCTTCCCCCAAATATTCTTAGTTGCTTGGGCAGTGGCTTCTCTTTAGATTGATTTCTATGTCTATCTCTCTCTCGTTTTTTGAGACAGGGTTTCTCTGTGTAGCAGCCCTGGCTGTCTTGGAACTTACTCTGTAGACCAGGCTGGCCTTGAACTCACAGAGATCCACATGCCTCTGCCTCCCGAGTGCTGGGATTAAAGGCGTGCGCCACCACCGCCCGGCCCATGTGTCTCTTAAAAAGAATGTTTTCAGACTGGAGAAATGGCTCAGCAGTTAAGAATTCATACTGTTCTCTCAGAGGATCCTAGTTTGGCCCTGGCATCTACATTGGGTGACTTATAGCTGCCTGCAATTCCAGTTGCATGGGATTCAATGCCCTATTTCAGTGACCTCTCCTGAACTTCTCAGGCACCCAAACACCCACATGCTCAAGCGCACACACACACACACACTCATTTTTTAATTAAAAAAGAATGCCTGCCTCTTCTATTTATGTCCCTGCCTCTGGTTGACAAATTGGCATGGTTTTGATGTCATCTGTGAGACAGAGGAGCAGCAGTGATCAGGAATCTCAGTCTACAAAGTTTGATTTGGGGGTGCCATAAGGTCTTGTGCCTCACAACCTGATTATAGATTATATGGCACTGAAGACTATAAAGATGCAAATCCCCTATGCTAAGTCATAACCTTTGGCAAGTTTCAAAAGGACGGTGAGAACCAGGTATCTGGGAAAGAGGTCTAGTGAATGTAGAAAAACAAAAGAATTAACAAGGCCAAAGTCTCAAGACACATTTCTCGGTGACAGAAGTTTGCCTAAGGCTTGTGTTACACCATAAGATGTAAGACAGCAAGTGTATACCTATCATAGAGATTAAATAGATTTTATTACATATAAAAATGCTTTAAGTTTTACTGTCTCCAAATCAATTTTTTAGTAATAAAGGAATATTCTATTACCCAAGATGAAAAGGAAAATAAGAAAGTGTATTGATAACCATCATTAGTTAACAACACAATGATTAGCATGTGGATGTCTTTACTTTTTTTTTTCTTCCTGTTTTTGATTTTTCTTGGAACAGGTCTCACTATGTAGCCCTGAGAATATTCTATTACCCAAGATGAAAAGGAAAATAAGAAAGTGTATTGATAACCATCATTAGTTAACAACACAATGATTAGCATGTGGATGTCTTTACTTTTTTTTTTCTTCCTGTTTTTGATTTTTCTTGGAACAGGTCTCACTATGTAGCCCTGACTGTCCTGGAACTCCTGGAGATTCTCCTGCCTCTACCTCCCAAGTGCTGGGTTTAAATGCATGCCTCACCATACCCAGCAAACTAATCTCTGTGAATCTTGGATTTGAACCAAGGATCCTCAGCTCCCTAGGCCTTATCCTTTAGGCCATTGGCTCACTATGCCCTTTCCTGTTTGAGATTTTCTGTTGTTTTACAGTTTCAGTCCTGCTATATACCATTGTATAACTTGAAAGCATCTTGAGGTAAGCAGTATGAAGGACATTACAACATATCTAGAATAACTAGGTAATTTAAAATCTGTCCCAACTCTCTGGCCTCAATTCAATGCTAGGGGCTGTGGTAATGCAAGATTCCAAAATAAACAGCATCCTTGAAACATTCATAATTGCTTTAGTATTTCTTTCAGCTCTTAGTGTGCCCTGTATGACCCTGAGTGATTTTTAACATGATCTGAATTATGACATACAAGTGTAACTTCTTGTTCTTGCTTGGCTATATACAGCTAAACTATCAAAGTTTCCATCCTTTTTCCCACTTAATCTTTGCGAAACCCAGCCACATTTCAGACTCGAAGGGTGAAGAGTCTGGTCTAAGGTTATGCTATTACTAAACAGTGAACAAGGTAACAGGATGGTGGCAAAGACTGGCAATCCTCGTGAGAGGCTCTTGACCAGGTCAGACCGAACTGGCAGTGAACAAGCTCAGGTTTATTGGTGCATCTCTCCGAAAAGGTTCACCAATCCCAGGATTCAAGATCAGAGAAGCTGGGTGCCTGTTCCAAGATGGATAGTTCTTATAATCCCAAGCAAAAGGAAGGGTCGTGGTGAATGTCCGGTGGATGCTTAGGTAGGCGTTTAGGTGGCCGGCTCCACCCAGAACTCAGTTTTGGTGCCAATTGGGCAAGAAAGGCATTGTAGCAAGCGTGAGCAGGAATCTTTTCTGTCCCAGCCTAACACCTAGAATTTGAGAGGTAGAGACAGGAGAATGGAGTTTGTCAAGGTCAGCCCCAGCCTCAGCACAGCAAGTTTGAGGACCAAAGAATGCACCGAAAAAAGAAACAACAGTGAGCAAAGATTATTGCTCAGATCTTTCCAATACACCAGTTAAAGGAGACATTTACCAAAGGCCAGTAGCGTATTCCCCTCCTCCTGTTACTTGCTGTATAAACTCTTCATTTAAACACCAGTGTTGGGGCTGGAGAGATGGATGAGTGGTTAAGATCACATGTTGTTCTTGCAGAGGACTTGGGTTCAGCTCCCAGCACCCAAATTGTGGCTCATAATCAACCATAACACCAGTTCCAGATCTGACATCCTCTTCTGACTCCATTTGCACCAGGCACTTACATACATGCAGGCAAAACAATCATATACAAAAATAATAAAATAGATACATCTAAATTTTAAAACTATTTTTTTTAAAAAAGGGAATGAAAAATTAAGAAGGTTGCCCCCAAAGAACAGTTACCTGCAGTGGTAAGAGTACCAGAAATGGTAAGAGACAGCTTTCCTTTTCTTTTTTTTGGGGTGGGGGTAGGGGAGGTGGGGTGGGGTGGGCGGGACAGAGGTCTCACTATGCACTCCTGGCTGTCCTGCAACTTGCCTTGTAGATCAAACTGGCCTTCTGGCTGCCTCTGCCTCCCTAGTGCTGGGGAATAAAGGTGTGTACCACCACACCCCACAGGAGACACCCTTTTAAAGACATCTAAGATAATTAATGGTGCTTTACACAATTTCCTAAAACACCAGAAGAGAAAAAACCTGGTCCTGCTCAAGAGAAGCAGATGCACACGTCAGCTCTGGAGACTCCCCTTTGGTTATGAAATACGATCTGTATCATCTCAAGCTGCTGAATATTTAAATGAAAGACGTGAGTGGCAGGACAGCAGAGGTTTTGGGCTGCTTCCACGAGGCCTACTGAGCTGCTCATCTGTTCTTTGCTTTGCTAAACACTAACAAATCTGTTACAGGAGGGCTGGGAGACTCTTCAACAGGCCCAAGAAGCATACTTCCTTGTAAACAGATCCTCTGTGCAAAGCCCTGAGGCCCTGTCTGACTATACCCTGGATGCTAATTAGGGGTATCACCTTTCATCCTGGGCCTCTGGGTTTCCGGCCTCTTCATCCACCCCATCTTGTTACATGCTCTGGAAATCCAATGCTTCACCCTCACCAGTTTCCATGGAGATGCAACAGTTTACTTTTTTCTTCCCAAGTCTAAGCCATGGTTATTTTTAACTGGAAAACTCTGAGCCAGGTCACAGCTGGGATCTGGATGATGCAATGACGTCTATAGCTACCCTTCTCTCCCACAAACGCCTTCTTTTCTGCAGTTGTTGGGGGCGGAGGCGCTCCTGGGAGACTTTGAAAAGCTGTTTTTGCTTTGTTTCATGAAGTTAAAACTCATACCTTGACTTAGAGCTGGCAGACATTCTCAATCTGAAGCTGTGTGACTACAACCTGGTAAAGATGTTCTTATTGGGGTGGGAAGCCAGGTGAGGCTGACATTGCTTAGGTATCTGTGGCTGGGCCTGGGTCTGGCAGATTGGCTATTTGCTGCAGCTTGTCTTGGTGAAAATGAAGCTTGCAAAGGGGGACAAAGGTAGAAACAAGTGGAGAAGCAAGTGCTCACATCTCCAGCACAAGCAGCAGATGCCCTGGATACCTTACTGTCTACCCATCCTGCTGGAGAAACTTGGTCAGTCCACCTAACGCCAAGGCCCTTCGTTCCCTGGAGCTGGGCTTATCAAGGCCTTTCTGAATGTTTCAACTCCTTAGGATTTTCCTTAATTACCTGGAAACTGCCCTATTTCACTGACAACTCTCTAGGATTATTATAAAAGACTACAACAAAAATAATTCTAAGCAGTCATACATATTAACTATCCACAACTCATCATTGCTTTAAAATACATTTTGTTGTTCTTTTAAAGAAATTTCTTAAATGAGGAGTGATACCAGAGCACAAATCAATAGTTTTCTGTTGTTCGGTGAGAAAACTGATTACTCAGAAACTGGGGGGGGGGGGGAGAGAATGCATTCCACACAACCCTCCAAGGAGAAACATTAGACGTGTCATGAGCTGGAACTTGGCTATCAGCCTGCCAAGATGATAGCATTTCAATGTTTTAAGAAAGGGTTGGTTTGCCAGGTGGTGGTGGTGCACTCCTTTAAACCCAGTACTCAGGAGGCAGAGAAGTTCAAAGCCAGCCTGGTCTACAGAACTAGTTCCAGGACAGCTAAGACTACATAGAGAAACCCTCTGGAAAAACCAAAAAAGAATAGGTTGGTTTAAGTGTCTGAATATGTTCATATGTGCACGCAGAGACCAGTGTCTTCAACTTGTTTTTGCTTTCCATCCTGCTTTTTGAGAAAGAGACCGTCAATGAAGTTGGAGCTCACCCATTTGGCTAAACCCATTGGCCAGTAAGCCCCCTTGAATCCTCCTCTGCTCCCCCCCCCCCACCAAGATTACAGGCTCATGTGGCTATACCTATTGTTTTATGTTGATGCTGGAGATCCAAATTCAGGTCTTCATCCATGCAAGCACTTTACCAAATGTCATCTCCCCAGTCTTCATGTAGTGACCTTGAACTTCTGGTCCAACCTCCATCTTCTGAATATTGAGATTACAGGTATGCATCACTACTCCAGTTATACTAGGCAAACATTCCACCAACTAAGCTATGCTTTCAGCCCTACGGCATCTTCTCACACTTCCTAAGATGCTGATTTTTTTTTCCATAATAACTATGGATCAAGGCATATTAGTAGGTCAAGACCTCAGACCACAGAAGGTCTTGACTAATACAAACTGAAAAGGTTTGCCTGGTAAAGAATGCAAGGTTAATTCAACCTAACAATTGAGTCTGATGCCAAAGACATCTACGACCTGTACTCTGAAGTAGAAAATCAAGTGCGTCAGACTCAATTGCCTGGCCTTAAAGGAGACAGGACAAGCGAAGGATGGCAAAGCACGGGGTTTTCAAATACAAACCCAGTTGGGTGACCTTCAAGGCTACATCTCTTGGATTTTTTTTTTTGTATTGGGTTTTAAATCTTTTTTTTTTTTTTTTTTTTTGGTTTTTTTCAAGACAGGGTTTCTCTGTATTGTTTTGGAGCCTGTCCTGGAACTCGCATGGTAGACCACCTGCCTCTGCCTCCCGAGTGCTGGGATTAAAGGTGTGCGCCACCACTGCCCGGCAGGTTTTAAAGCTTTTAGGAATCACTGTTTTCTTACCTGTATTTCATTCCTGTTCTCAATAGGGAAAGGGGCCTAGAAACATAATGCCCGAGTAACAAGGAAGTCATCGTGAGGAGGGAATTTTAATGTTTTAATGTCAGATGCAAAACATTCATCTTTCCTGCAAGTATCTATGTCACTGAGTGGGATGCCTGGTCAAGGAAATCAACGGGCAGTTAGTACACTTCCGCTGCAGAACAATTGGTTTTTGTGTATTTTGTGAACATAGTATATTATCTTGAAGGTATTCCCAAAGGCGGCCTTCAAAACAGATGGATGAGCAGACAGTGGATCACAACTATGATCCCAGTATTTGGAAGGCAGAAACAGGGGGCCTGGAGTTTGAGAGAGTAAACTTTTTTTTGCACTGATGAGGGATATGAGAAACCTCTATCATTATAGCTGGCTTTCAGTCAAACCTATGTGGATGCAGAGAACCATGCAATGTTAATGAAATCTCTTGCTGGTACTAGGTAGCCTTGTCTAGGTGTTAAGAATATAGATGGAAATAAAAACAGCCGTATCAAATTCAGCAAGTGCTTTTCTAAAATAAATGCAAAAGGTAAGTGACTCCTCTCAAAGGACTCCCAGACTGGAATGTAGCACTTGCCAGGCAAGAGCATGGCCTGTTCAACTTCCAGATTTTTGGGGAAAAAAGTCACTCGGCATGAGTATGGAAGCACACACCTATAATCCCAGCACCCGATCGATTTAGGCAAAAGGATTACAAGTTGGAGACCAGCCTGAGCTACATAGTAAGACCATGTCTCAAAATGAAAAACAAAACAACCCCCCGCAAAGCAAGGCTAGACCTTTGAGAAATTTCAGAACACTAGGCTTGAAATTTGGCAAAATTAGACTCACCAAAGCAATAGTAACCCTACTTCCTAAAGTCTAGCGATCTGCAATGATAGCTTTCTCTTTCCATTGCTATTTCCCACCATGTCTACTAATCCCCAAGTGCTCTCCAGCGTGCGATTGCTTCCCAGGTTTCAGTCTGTCCTACCATCCTCCAGTTCGGGACGGCCGCAGCTGCCCCTTGTATGCCAGCCAGATCTCTTGGCGGCTCCCCTTACTCCCACTGCTGCCTCCACACCATCCTCCACCCCTCCCTCTGTCTAGAACAGTTTCCCACTTCCATCTGCCATTTCCCCACCGCCTTTCATGTTCATCTCTGCCTCAAAAGCCCTCTTCTCCCAGGAAGCTTTCCTTAATCAAGATTAAAACCCTTCACACAACAAATACTACCAAATATTGAAGTTTCACATGTCCCAAGTTTCAGACCAGTGGTTACCCTTCACGGTAGGATGGAATCTGTTTATAAACAACCAGTATTGGTGGTGATAAAATGAATTTTCAAAGAAGAATGACTACTAAAGGAAATCATTTCCACAAGTTGTCCTTTTTTAATTAAGAATTTTTCAAATATTCTGATTATTTCTCCTCCTCCAACTCCCCCATATTCTGCCCACCTCCCCAATTTCATGTTCTCTTTCAAAAAAAAAGAAAAAGGAAAACAAACAAACTCAGTAAGACAAAAAGTTGTCCTTTTAAAGAGGGGAAGTTACTGGACTACTCTCAGAGCCAGCATTTTTGGCCCAGCAGTGTATTTAGTCAGCGAGTGTTTGCTGCAGCAGCCTGATGACCTGAGTCTGATCCTCAGAACCCATAGTGGAAGGAAAGAACGGACCCCAGAGAGTGGTCCTCTAACTCCACATGCACACATGACACAGCCATCCCACCTGCCCTGACCATATGAATTTAAAAAATGTACTATTTTCTCAATCTCTGGATACCCATTAGCAAGTTACAAGTCTGAGTATGTACTTCCAACAAGGCACATCCTAACCGGGTACTTGAATGTTAAAGGAGTTAAAGAATTAGCTATTGGAGGTGATTTGTGCAGATTCTAAGTTATTCCCACCTGCACCTTTGCTTGCAACAGACATGAGATAACCATGACTGTGAGTTTGGCTTCTTATTTTGCTGCAGGCTTGAGGACCACGTTTCAGATGTGGTGGAGCTACTCATCCCCACAGCCAGTGAGTCTCATATGAAGTGGCTTTCCTTGTGTTTGAAAGCAGCTTTTATTGCAGGCTAGCCTCTCACCACTGAGAGACGAGGGTTCAGGTCTCAACTGAAGTACAGCTGAGCTAGTTGCATCATCTCCATCCTCATGGACCTGGTGTCCTGGGAAACTCAGGGTGACAAGGTGAGACCAGGACACAGGACACACGTGTAAGCAGAGACAGTACAGTATGTTGAGGCGGACTCCAACAACCCAAGTGTGCTTTAGCTACCAGAATATCTGACACACCCACAAATTAAATAGCAAAACATTTTAATCCATTAATTCTAAAAATAACAGAGACATTTTATATCCGGTGCCACCTCCTCAAGAGTCTACTGCAGATCAGACAGCCAGACTGCAAAGTACAAAGCCAGACACGAAAGTTAAAAATGCAGCTTGAGGCAGACCATCATCGGGAGATGTTCCACCTCTTCAGCTCATAAACTAAGATGTCAGCTTAAAAAAAATCCTTGAAAGGAAAGGTTTTCCTGTGCTTTAAAAGCCCTCTTTATTTAAAACCTCTCTGCACGATGGGAAGGCAGAGAGTCAGCGAGCTTCACTCTCGAGTGCAAGGATCTGAGCCGGACTCCTGGGATGAAATGCTGTGGCTTGGCTTGGTTCTATTTTCACCAAAGCCACGATGTGAGGTACTATGGTTCCTGTCTGAGTTACAAGAGGTGCTAGGAAAGAATGCCCACTCATGTTTAATAATAACTAGGTGAGCACACACACTGCATCACTATCCCCACAACAGGAGCTCTTTACAGCAGGGCAGAGCAGAAACTGACGCACGTAGAGTCCCTGCGTCTTTCCTTCTTTTCACAATAAGAATCCAACTCAAACCCAAGTCTCCAGCGTGTGTGCACTGTCCTTTGACCCGCCGCATTCCAAACTCCTGGTTTGCATTGCTAAGCAGAGACTCAGGCTTTGGTGATGTATCCCTCTCGGATGAGGAAGTCATAGATTTTCCGGGTTTTGTTCACGTCTATCTTGATGAGTGCTCTTGCCTGTGCCAGTCTCAAGCCTCCTTGCTTGTTACACTCATTCAACAGAGCGGATTTATATTCTAAATAGGCTCCAGGTACCAACCTCACCACCTGGCAGAGCTGAAAGAGAGACAAATGTAATAAACATTGGCATCTGCCACTCTCAAATTTTAATCCAGAAGATATAACAATCCCAAGAGAAGGGGGGGGGGATGTGGTGGTTCAGTAGGTAAAGGCATTTGCCAAGACTTGAGACAACCCAAGTTTGATCTCTGGGACTCAAATGGGGAAAAGAGAAATCCAACTTCTTCAAATTGTCTTCTGACCTCCACATCATACTGTGACACACACATGCCCTTCCCTTCCCCCACACCCAAAATAAAAGGTATTTTTAAAAAAGTGACATCAACCTCCAACTATTTATGGGAGCTGTCGAGTGGCTGGACCACATTCCACTTCCTCTTTTCTCAGTAAGAAAAAGGCACTTGTGATATCAGCCAGGAGAGCCTTCAGCAAGTGAAGGCTGGCTCAAGGGTCTAGTTCAGGTAGGGAACAAATACACGTCCCTGAGGAGCTGCCAGACTTTGCCCAGGAGCTGAGTGCTAAATGCCTGGGGTTGTCACCCAGCACCATTCTGACAAGGACTAGTCAGGGAAATGACACAGAACACAGCAGGGCATTGAGGGGTGGTGGCATTGCAGGTGCCTGGATTCCTAAGTGTAAATCACATCATTGGTACTGGCAGAAGAGAGTAACTTCTGGTTTTTCATCTCCTACCACGGGGAGGAGGCCATCTTTACTGCTAATGCAGAAAGCACATTCAGTTCAGTTCACCTGCCATTATCAGCAAGGAGCGGTCTGAGCCCCTATCATATGGGTAAGCAGTAAAAAGCTGTTTGGACTTCCAGACTATTCAACACACAACCCGAAGAAACTGATCTGTGACTTTCTTCAATACACACTTATTTCTATCCCAAAAGAAATGTTTATGTTTTCTGATGGATAAAAGACTAACTACAGTACACTTTGGTTTCTTAGTGTCTGACATGCGCAGATGTTATAGACCAACAGACAGGGACAGACACTGGACCTGAAAGGAATAAGATGAGCTCCTCTTTTGTTATACTTTGGGGTCTGTTTGTTTGTTTTTGAGACAGGGTCTCTTGCTTGGAGCCCAGGGTTGCCTCTGGCTCCTGATCCTCTTGCCTCCACCTCCCGAGTATCGGGATTACATGTGAGTACCGCCCAAGAAGACTTTCGTTTGTTTTGAGATAGCCTCTTCACTGTGTGGACTAGGCTGACCTCACAGTCTCCCCCATCTCAGGCTTTCAAGTGCTAAAATTAGAGATCTATACCACACCTGACTAGATGTGTAGATTTAAATGTTAGAAACTGACAAAAGTTACACAGAGACAGCTCAGTGATTACAATGGTAAAGAAGGTTATGGTACTTTTCAAACCAATGTGTTGTAGGTGTATTTGTATGTGCATGTGAGTGCACCTGGGAGGCAGAGGCAAGCAGACCTCTGTTGAGTCTGAGGCAAGCAGCACTACACAGGGATTTAGTTCCAGGTCAGTTAGTGTTACATAGTGAGACCCTGTCTCAAAGGTAAAAAAATAATGTGCAATTATATATGATGTTGAATTATTTTCATTATACTTATCAACATGATATGGAGACAATTACAAAACCATTTTAAGTGATGGTTATATTGCTGAAATAAGTGCAGAACCTCTCAAAGCACCCATTTTATTGGGAAAGTCCTATTTTCATGTAAAAGCAACTTAAGGTCTACAAAAAGTTTCACTTACATAAAGCATTGAGTGGAATGTCTGCCATATAAATGCTCAATAAATGACAGCTACTGCTATTATTTAATTGACACTGTTGCATGAACTTCTCTCTAAGAGGGGAAAGGTAGCTTTGAGATGAAAGGAATTTTCTGGTGCTTACCAAAGTTAGCTCTTAACTCCTAGACTACTCATACAAGAGCTGAGCACATTAGACAAGTACAGTAAGATAGACTTGATGTTATAATGGATTTTAATGACAACTCAATGAATTAATCAACCCCTCTCTCTTTCCTCTAGTTCCCCTCCCTTTTATTACCTCCTTTTCTTTTTCATTGAGCTTCTCTGTACCAGGGAGGCCAGTGAGGTTCAAAGGTGGTGCACTTCGTCTTCCTATAGACACAGATGCAAAAGAACAAGTATTTCACAGAGGTGTAACTGTTCAAGTATAAAACAGAAAGCCTAACCCACTCCCTTAGGCGGGTTTAGCAAGCTCCTTGGTCACTGTAGTGGTTAGATTGAGAACAGCCCCCATAGGCTGATATTTAAATGCTTGGTCCCCAACTGGTGGGACTATTTGGGAAGGATTAGGAGGTGTGGCCTTGACAGAGATGTGTGTGTGTGCGGTGTGTACTTTGAGGTTTCAAAAGCCTCCAGCCATTACCAGTGTGCACTATGCTTATTGACCAGCGATCAAGATGATGGCCCTCAGTTATTCCTGCTGCTATGCCTTTGCTCTGGATCATGGACTCTAACCATAAACCAAATTAAATGCTTTTGTTTACAAGCTGCCTTGGTCCAGGTGTCTGTCTTATAGCAACAGATAAGTAACTAATACAGTCACCCCAACATTCATTTGAAAATAAAAATGACAATCCATGTGCTCCTTGTTCTGTTGAAATACAAATATGATCACACTCATCTTCATATCAATGACCACTCAGCACAGAGGAGGAACCTATCTGATCCTCCCACATGGGAGGCTCTAAACTCTGGAGCCCAGATGTTCATACAGTTTAGGAAGGTTATATTCTACGTGCCTGGACAGCTGACAAATAGAAATAGGAGTCCTGCAGGAGAGAGATTCTTTCTTGTCACTAGTCTCCAGCAGGACAAGGCAAGCATGGTAATTAACCAAGTACTATGTACCTTTAGATCAAAGGCAGAGTCAGGTCACAAAAGCTCTGCTTATTTTTTTTGAAAAGAGTGACGTTTAACTAAAAGATCCACACTGGAATAACAAATCAAATGCTATATTTGTTACATGGCAAAGCAGGGACTAATGTCAACTTCCTACCTGAGAAAAAAGCACAGGCATGAGGCAGCACTGGACTTGCCAGGCCAGACCAGTATATAAAGATTAACGCACAAGAGCTTCTCCCTTAATGGACGATGATGATGATACGTCTATGTGGTGCACCGGCCACAGGTCAGACTACAACTGTGTGGTGCCAATGCCCTCCTTCTGGCCTACTTCTCCAGGCTCTATGGATGGAACACAGGTTGCCAGCCTTGCATAGCAAGCACCTTTACCTGCTGGATCATCCTACTTGCCCCTGGTTTTATTCTGAATAGATGCTTGGAATGAGTGATCAGCTGGTGATGGACAGAGTGGGTTAAGTTTTGTGGGTATAGCCACTGGAATGGGGCAGAAGGAAGAAGGGGGACTACTCAAGTTGTTCTGGAGAACCTGATTCTTGGGGACATCCAAAGTGCTAAGAAATGAAGGCTTAGAAATGGAGATAAGGGGCTGGAGAGATGGTTCAGCAGTTTAGAGCACTGTTTTTCCGGAGGTCCTGGGTTCAATTCCCAGCATCTACAGGGTAGCTCACAACCATCTGTAATGATCTGGTGCCCTCTGCGGGCAAGCAGAGCATTCATGCATAGAATATAAATAAATAAACATTTTAAAAAACGGAGACAAAATCATGAGCTACCTCACACATCTCCCAAGGCTGGGCTACAGCAACCAGGGATGGTGGGCTCCCAATCTTTTACTGCCTGAAGAGTACAGAGTCAGAGCACAGAGAGGAGCCAGGAATCTCAACACTAACACAAAGAGAAAGAAGGCAGGCTAACACCAGCCTAGGAGGAAATGGTGAGCTACACAATCATTTTAATTAGCCAGTATTACGTTTCTGTGTTTAGCAAGAGGGGAGGTTTGAAGTAAGAAGTTTACAAAATGAAACCTCGATTCCACTGTCTTTTTGGCTCCTTAAAAGGCTCTCTTTTCCTCTCAAGTATCAATGATGACTTGAGGGGCTGGAGGCAGTTTAGTGGTTAAAAGCACTTGCTGCTCTTGCAAACAATCCAGGTTCAGCTTCCAGCACTGCAGCTCACAACTATCTGTAACTCTAGTTCAGGGGTTCTGATGCCCTCTTCTGGCTTCTGCACACATGTGATACACACATATAACTCAGGCATACCGACATACAATACATTTTTAAATAAAAAATAATTACTTGAAACAAAGGAAAACAATTATCCAGTAAGTGACTGTATCTGAGCACTATTAGATCCTGAATATAAGGAGACTTTTGTTTTGTCTGAGACAAGGTCTCACTATGTAATCCAGGTTAGACCCAAAATTTCCATCCTCCTGACCCAGCCTCCCCAGTACTGGGATTACAGGTATGTGCCATCATAGCAAGTGTTACTGAGAAAATTTCAATTGTTACAAAGAATGTGAACTGGTAACTGAGTCAGATTAGACCACTATGCTTCTTATGGTGGAATGGTCTGGATGCTCAGATTAGGAGAAATGCTGTCATATGAGGCAGGTGTGAAGAGTGTTCAGGACAATTGACAAAGAACAGCACAATTTGGCTCAGGAACTTCATACTAGTATCTCCCCAAATATTTAGTCATAAACAACAGTCACCAAGAATCATCAGACTACATGGTTTAGTCTTGTTCTATCAATTAATCTCAAAATAGGACATACTCAAAAGAGGTAAGCTCAGAAGCAGAGATTCCTTAAGTCTCTCATTACAAGAAATCTTTGAGTTTCTGGCAAGTGATTTGCTGCTCATGTCAAATACAAAGCTCTTCATGTAGCATCCCCAAAGTACACTGCAACTCTGCCACAGAAACAAGTCCAGTCCTAACTGTAAACACCAGGAATTACAAGAGCATCCTTCTGAGTCCTGCTTGAGACAAGGCCATCCCTGTCTGACTATGAAGTCTGAAAGCTTGTGGGTATCCACAAACCATTTCAACAGCTGATTACCATCACTACGCAGAAGGAGGGGAGCTGTGTTACCATAACCCCTGAGATGTAAATGTCATAGTCCGCACTTGCTCTGGGCAGGGGGATGGTTCAGTGCTAGGGGATGCTCATGCCAGTATATGAGAGGCCCTGGCTTCAATCTCCAGTGCTGAAAAAGGAAAAGACAAAATAAAAACAACCCACAAAACCCCTGCTAATAGCCTGAGAAATCATTACCTGAGTTTGAAGCCGTCAGAACAGAAGGACTCAGCCCAGAATCACTAAGACAAAAAGGAATTTAAACTTAGGTCATATCAAAGAAGGCAATTTCTAAAATTCCCTCATCGAACTGTGAGCATTTATGAGGAAGGTCACCCAAGAAGAGCTATGGCGAGACTGCATGACATTTCACAGGATATCTCACTGTACAGGAAAGAAAATGTATTCCAAAGGAGGCATTGCTAAGGGCTCTTAACAGGTGACATCACCAAAGCCATTTGAAACTTTAACAAAAACTGCACTAGCATCTAAGTGGGGAGACACGAGTGAGAGTAGGGGTGAGACAGGGCTTCAGTGTGTATCCTCCGATGGCCTGCAACTCACGGCAGGACCCCTATCTCCAGAGTACTGCAATTACAGTTGTATACCACCATAACCAGCTTCAGGTTCACTTTTTTTCTTTTAATAAGAACAAAAGGCCAGTCACTTTTTTTTTTTCCTTTTGAAGGGAGGGAGTTCAAGACAGGGTTTCTCTGTGTAGCCTTGGCTTTCCTAGAACTTGCTTTTTAGATTAGGCTAGCCTTGAACTCACAGAGATCCGCCTGCGTCTGCCTCCCAAGTGCTGGGATTAAAGGTGTGCACTACCACTGGCCACCCCAGTGCATTTCTTAAATCTGCCAGTACCACATTGTTCCTAGATGGACTGGTAAGAATCCTTACTACTCTAACACACAGAGTACACACATAGGTGTCCAAAAATACATGTTAAGGCCCAAGTATCCCAGGAGGAGCGCCCTCTGCGGCCCACCCTAACTGCGCACATGTCAGCCTGCCGGCGGAGCCACTGCTGGCACGCACTACTGTCCTGGATGTACTGGAGAACTTCCGAGAGCATGGTACGTTTAAGGCGCTCCTCCTCTCTAGTCTTCTTCAGGTGGTCGTATGTCCTGGCACCTGGAGGGAGAGAAGACACTTGATTTCAAGGATAGCACAACAGAGTCAAAGGGCTTACTTACTAAGTGAGCTCAACCAACATTGGTCACTACAGATTTTCTCAGGAGCCATACTTGGTTCTTGCTCTACTTCTTTCATTTGTGAGTGGATCTGACCCAGGGTTCTGAACATCCTAAGATAGTGCTATTCCACTAAACTATACAATCAGTCACACAGACGTCAGATTACCATACCAGTGGCTCTCACAGATTCTAAAGAGACTCAAAGAGCTGGTAAACAGAGAAGCCAGAACATAGCCATAAGCAATCCAGTCTCTCATTGGCTTGTTTACATAGTGCTGTGTCTCAACACGGGGCCCCGCGTGTGTGGTAAGCAATCTAAAGCTGATGGACACTCCCAGATCTGTGCTGCCTTTCTTTATGACCTGGCTCTTCTGTTAACTAGCTTTTTAATTTCTCTCATTTTTCTTTTTCTTTTTACCCAGGAGATAATTTCTCTGTTTAGCCAGGCTGTCCTGGAACTCACTTTGAAGACCAGGCTGTCCTTGAACTCACAGATAACCACTTGCCTCTGCCTCCCAACTCCTGGGGTTAAAAGCATGAGCCACCACTGCCCGAATGTTAAATCTCTTTGAACCTTGAGTTCTTCGTTAAATAGAAGTGATGATCTCCCTTATGTCTGTCATGATATACAATGACTTGAAGGTGAAATGTATCCCACAGACCTGGTACATATTACTTAAATGATAGATATTTACTTCTATTAATAAAATTATGACCAGCTCCTTAAGTAAACTGGATGCAAGCACCTGAGCTCCAGTAGAAGCCTGGTAAACAAAAATGATCATATGTATAAATAAATTTTAAAAGGCTGAGATTAAGACATGCAACCTACGAATCACACATCCCACCCCACCTTACTCTCATGGCCTAGAACATACTATACAGACCAGGCTGGCTCCAAAGTTAGTGATCTGCCTGCTGCTGCCTCCTCAGTTTTGGGATTAAAAATGTGAGCTACCAAGCTCGGCTAAGACTTTCTTTTTTTTTTCCCCCTCGAGACAGGGTTCTCTGTATTGTTTTGGAAGCTGTCTTGGAACTCACTCTGTAGACCAGGCCTCCAACTCACAGAGATCTGCCTGCCTCAGCCTCCCGAGTTGGGAACAAAGACGTGCGCCACCAATGCCCAGCTTAAGACTTTCTTAAAGAGCCAAAGCAGACTCCCAGTTCTAAAGCAGAGTTTCTTTTTGCTGTGTGCCGTAATTTTTATTTTGTCCTGATAAAATAATGATATTTATAGGAATTGAACAGATGAAACTTTAGTAATGAAGTTTTTAAACTCCTCTGAAAAGATTGTTTTTTTTTTTCAAGACCCCAAAGATTCCCTTTTGTACATGCAAGTCACTAGCACTTTGATACTGTAGGTAGTGGAAGCATACTTACTACAAAAATTGGTAATGCCTGCTGTCCTATATTCTTGGAGCCTCTTGATTTCCCTTCGGAGTTCAAATTCCACTGTTTTCCCAGGAGAACAAAGGAGAAAATTTGGAAAAACAAATCAATGTCAGAGAGTTGTTGGGTACGTTTCAGTGATTCTGTAAAAGGCTAGGTGACTTCATTCTAGGATACTCTTTACTGTGAACATCTCATTAGAAATGCCTCCCAAAGCCAGTGGTGGAGGCTCACACCTGTAATCCCAGCACTTGGGAGGCAGAGACATGTGCATCTCTGTGAGTTTGAGGCCAGCCTGATCTACAGAGTGAGTTCTAGGACAGGCTCCATAGCAATACAGAGAAACCCTGTCTTGAAAAACCAAAAGAAACTGTTTTTAAATACAAGGGTTCCTGTTCCACCTTCTGTGTTAGCACTTCTACTCACACAGCCGAGGTCTGTGATGCAGTTTGCCTCTCGATGAGGCCATGCAGCACAGGAAGGACAAAGCTTTGCTTAAGCCCTGGCTTCTTTTTAGCTTTTTCCTATAGGGACCAAAGAGCACAGCATCTTCCATGAGCCAAATTGCTGCTGAGCAGACAGCTCAGAACGCACTGGATTATTCTATGATAGAACAGTCCAACCTGGGTGCCTTTCAAACATGTAATGAAGGAAAGCCATCCACAGGGTGTAGTTCTCTGTAGTGACACATAAGCCGGGAATGATATAAACTAGGACAGGAAGTAAAGGATAAGTCATTCGATACCAACCACACAGAGAATGACAACTAAACAAGGTGTTTCCTGAGGACAATCAACCTGGCTCAGATAAATACCTATGGTTCTTCCTAAGAAATATTTGCACCATGAGAGCAGTGGTAAAGCACTTTTCTAGAAAATTACAACATGACAAAAAGCTTCCTAGAACTAAACTGAGGAGTCGAATATATAGCTCTTGTGAGGCAGGTATAGAAACAAGATCTCAGTGCAGGTTGCCTCAAAGTCTTAGGCCTTCTTGCTTAACAACTTCCATTTTCTTTATAGTGGAAAATCCAATTATAACTGGGATGAATGCTCTTGGGAACACCAGAGAAAGGCCAGAGGAAGATGGAGGTATTGGTTCCATGAGCCAACAACCCTGTTCCCATGACTGAAACTAGATTTATTTATTTATTTGGTGTTTTTGAGTCAGGGTTTCTCTGTGTAGCTTTGTAGACCAGGCTGGCCTCAAACTCACAGAGATCTGCCTGCCTCTGCCTCCCAAGTGCTGGGACTAAAGGCGTGCGCCACCACTGCCTGGCTTGAAACTAGTTTTAATGTTAAAATATTTATAAGCAAAACCATGATGTTTGGAATTGGCTTCAAAATAACCAGCTTGTGGACAGGAGGGAGGGAGTTCTCCCTCCCCTTCAGATGCAGCTGGACAGGTACTGTGAAGCTGCTCACAAAAACACAGGGATTCATTGTGCTGTTCCCTCTGCTTCTCAATATCCTTGACAAGTCCTGGAAGAAGTAAAAACTGCTCTACATGCTGGCACCTATCTGCAATCCAGTTCTTGGAAGACAAAGGTAGGAGGACTGCAAGTCTTAGTCCAGCTTGAACTACTCAGAAAGTCCTAGGCCAGCGTGGGCTACACATCAAGACCCTGTCTTAAAACAAAGACTTAAAAAAAAAAAAAAAGACACCAAAAAGAAAATAAAAACAGAACAACAACAACAACAACAAAAAATCCCCCAAAACAATGAAGAAAAGCCCCCTGCTAATTTGCAAGTTACTAAGTGTTTTCCTTCTTTGGTATGTAGGGTTGTGTCTGTGTATAGTATACACATGCACACAGAGGCCAGAGACATGGGTGTCTTGTTCTATCATTTTCCACCGTATTCTTTTGAGCAAAGAACTAGGTGTTGGCCAGTAAATCCCAGAAATACCCATTTCCGCCTCCTACAAGCACTACCATGGACAAATCCAGCTTTTCATATAAGTGTTGGGATCTAAACTTAGGTCTTCATGTTTATGCAGCAAGTACTCTTACCCACTGAGCTATTCCCCTGCCCCTTACTTAGCTTTTAAATGTACACACGCATATATGCACGAACACAGAAGCACATGCACACGTACACACAAAGCTCAAAAAAACACCTACATGCATGGCTTTCAATGAACTTGTCATGTTCCACTGGTCCCACAATCCTTGCAAATCGCCTCATTGTTTCATAAAGGTCTTGGACCTCCTTGGGATACCGCCGTTCCATTACTAGAAAAAATGAAACACAACATGTCACAGAGATGTAAGGACTTCTAAGTTTCTGGTATTGTTTTTTTTCCAGTTTTTTAAAAATTTAAATTAAAAACAATCTTATTTTACATACCAATCCCGGCTCCCTCTCCCTCCCGTCCTCCTACTCTGGTATTATTTTCTAAAACAAGATGTAAAATGCAAGGACATTTTCCTAACCTCACATGAGTAACTCACTCATTACAACATGCAAACAGGACAGTTGAGAATGCAAATCACTAATCATAATTATAGCATCACAGCACCTCACAAAGAAATGCTTTTATCATGGAGATCATCTCTGCTACCAAGTACTATTGATGTCCCTGCTCATGTCTTTTAATCTGCATGGGACAAGGCAGTAGACTAGGCACTGCTGTCATAAGGGAAAAGGGAATTAAAGGCAGAACCTATGTTATCAGACACAACTCTGGCCAAAATTTTGGTATGGATTATTGTAGGAAAACAAGGAAAGCAAAGACATAAGAAACCTTCTGGCTGGTGTGGAAGTCTAAGCCTATAATCCCAGTACTTGAGGTACAGGCAGGAGGACCATCACAAGCCTGAGACCAGCCTTTCTCTAGAATACTGACTTCCAAGCCAGCCAGAGCAAATAGCAAATCTTGCCTCAAAAAAAAAAAAAAAAAAAAAAAAACCCAGAACAAAAACAAAGAACACCAGAAAAGGTCAATTAACCTGGAAAAACTATGTGCCTTTCTTATCTGGAATAGCCTGTGTGACAACCTGATTTGTGTAGCACCGTGGAAGGCACTCTTCCAATGTGAGGTATCCCTAACCCCTTAGATTTTTTTTTTTGCTTTAAATATGCACAAGTGTTCTGCCTGCGTGTATGAATGTGCATCATGTGTGTCCACAGGGGTAAAAAGAGGGCATCCCTGGAACTGGAATAATAAATAGATGGTTGTGAGCCACCATGTTGGTGCTGGGACCCAAACTCTGCAAGAGCAGCAAGTGCTCTTAACTGCTGAACCAACTCTGTAGTCCTACAAAATGTTTTTATAACCTGAGACCAAAGTTATGTTCAACACATAATTTCAAAACAAGACTGTCTAGAAAATGATCCATTAATGTTCATGTTGTAATTACTGTAACAATTAATTCTTGGGCAATATTGTTGACTATAAATGAATAGCTCTTCACTATGACCATGGACCAGAGCTGCCTTGAACACTTTTGGTTTCATTTTGTTTTGCTTTGGTTTCTGTACAAGGGATCAACGTCACCAAAAACACGTTAGACACCCCTCTACTACTGAGCTACCCCCAAGTCCTGCGTCAGAATTTTCAAATCTTCCTGGGTAATTCTAGCTAGCATTCAATGTGAATTATTAGCACTCCCACAATGACGTGAAACTACTCAACAGTGTTAGAAAAATTTAGAATAAAGAAAAACCAGGTCATACTCACACCGGAACTTTCTAAGGTTGACTAATCCATGATCTCTTATAATCCTAGAATGAAAAACCATAATAATCTAGGTTAAAAGTAAGTTTCATATTTAATGTCTTCTATATGTTAGTTTTTATCACACATCCTAAATATTATGAAGTAGAATATCAGGGTCCAGAGAAGTCAAGTCTCCACACATTTCTGAATTAGCCTCTAAATGGAGAATCACACACTGTCCTTCTTAAGGCATAGAGGACTCTCACAGATGACTCAGTGACCAGTGGCAAATGATGAAAAAACACGTGTTTGTCAAGATGGTTGAGAAGGAAATCTGTCAACATCATGAGACTAACTTACACAATCTGTAGAAATGATAATTAAGATCAGTCATTTAAGGGAAACTACGAGCCATGAAAGTACACACCGATCACACATTAAGCATTTACAACCATACATTTACACACTTTGAAGCCACCTGAAATATAGATTGACCATGTTTAAATAGAAGATCATTATAAAATGTAAGATTTAACAGTAACTCTCAACAAGCAAGTTCTGCAAGGTCACATGGAAAGCCACAAGTGGAGTGTTCTTAGACAACAAGCACCCAACAGTCCAAAGGTCAGAAAAAACAGGACGGCTTTTCTATACTTACTTTTTTCGTCTTTGCCTCTCTTTTAACCTGGAATGATAGATATCCACCACAGCCATCTTCAGAGCTACAAATACAAACACACATATAAATAATAAATATAAAAATAAAAATCAATACAAACCCCCCCCCTGCCAAACAATTATTCCTAAGGGAGGGTGCTGGCCCAGAGTTTTGCTATATGGGCTGGCTTTGAACTTAAAGTCATCTTCCCTCTTGCCTTTGCCTTCTGAGAGCTGGGATTACAAGCATTTACCATCATGCTTGGCTTATCTGAAACTTAACTATTCCATGGAAAATATCCTAGCACACTAAATTTCTCTATCAGTAAATAACAACTGTTATCATTATTTTGGTAGCACTGGCAACCAAACCAGACCAGACAAGTTCTGTACCACTGAGCTGCACCTCCTCCAGTTCAAAAATGAGTGTTGCTCTAACTGTACAGGATTAAGCTCAAGAGACAATGACAGAGCAGCATTGAGGGACAATGTTGGCGTGTTCCTAGAGTAACATTTTCAGTTGGGTGACAGCAGCTGTTTACAGTGCTGACTTCTGCATTCTGTGATGAAAAGAAGCATTAAGCAGCTTAACCACAGTAAAAGCCATGCCTTACTTGCCTGCTCTTGTCCCAACCCTTTCTAGCTTTAGTCTCAGGGAAGGGCGAGCTCTTTCTTGCTCTTTCTTTCCCTGCCGTGCCATTCCCATCTTCAAAGTCCCTAAGGTTGCTGTTCTGGCCTCTCTTTTCACTCCTCGCCTCACTTCTACAAGCTCTTTGGCTCTCAGGGTTCCAAGTTTCATCAGACTATACTATCTAAAACTCTCACAACTATTTTAAGCATCACATTCTCTTGGATATCCCTGTTTACATAGCTTCCATTGCAATCTTACATATTCTGCCTCTTTCCCATCTTAAAAAAAAAAACTCCTACCTCAGTTAACAGCATTACAGGAAAGCTAGTTGTCTAAGACAGAAACCAACCTGGTACTTCTTTCCCCTCTTCCTACATAGCTAGCTAGAGTCTTATCTAAACATCTAATGTTTGCCCTGCGTATCTCTTTCCAATACCATCACTCAGCTCAGGCATATCGTCCTGATGCCTCCTTACAGTACATTATCAGACTTACTGACTATGGTTCCTGCCTTCTTCAACTCCCTTCCTCCAAATGGTACTGAGAGTATTATTTTACAACATAATTTGATGGTACAGTTCCTATGCTTCCAATTCTTCAGTTACACCTACCTCCCTAACCCCCCTTAACAGGAACTCAAGGTCTACACGGTTTAAACTGCCTTCCACTGTCTTGTTTCCTCTCATTCCCTCATACGCTCTCTGTACCATACTCAGAAAGCACCAGCCCCAGATCACACAGCTGCTAAGAACAGATCAGGGATCTAAATACAGGTGACCTGGGTCTAGAGCTGTAAGAAAAACAATGAAGCTGGGCATGGTGTCTCATGTCTTTAATTCTCTGCACTTGGGACGCAGAGGTAAGTGGATCTCTGAATTTGAGGTCAACCTAGTCCACAGACTGAGTTCCAGAACAGCCAGGCTACAAAGAGAAACCCTGTCTCAGAAAAATAGTAAGACTTCCACGTTCTGACTATTCGTTAGTAGCTTTACTTTCTTTATTACCCCTATCCTAAATTTGGCTTATTAATAGTATATTAATAAAAAATTTAGTCTTTTAAAAAACCCACAGGCAGTTTATACTTAGAAGACCTCTAGGGTTAAAAAATGAAGACTAATTATTAGCAATTCTAGAAGAAACCATGAGTAAGACATAACTTAGCACAACACTGCTTAATAACCACCCTTCTGTTTGGAGTCTGAAAGTACCTTAATGACTTCAGTATGTTCTTAAGAACTTGTTGCCTCCTTAAGCTTTGTATAATATAGTGTGTGTTCATTACTGAATACATTCATGGAAGGAAGAAGTCCCAGCATTGCAAAGCTATCTGCCACATGTCTTTTTAACAACCCAAGTGCCCAATCCAAGTGTCAGGAAATATAATCTTTAAAAATAGACCAGCGCCGGGCGGTGGTGGCGCACGCCTTTAATCCCAGCACTCGGGAGGCAGAGGCAGGCGGATCTCTGTGAGGTCGAGGCCGAGCTGGACCGACAGCCTCCAAAACAATACAGAGAAACTCTGTCTCGTAAAAACAAAAACAAAACAAAAAACAAAAAAAGACCAGCTTTTCTACAATGAATTTGACTATGTATGGAAATATACATTTATCTTCATTCAAAATTAGAGCCCAGAGCCCCTGGAATGCTGACAACGCAAAAGCAATGCAATCTCATCTTTAACCCTAGTACAGAGATCCAAGTTCAAGGTTAGCCTAGGACAGCAATGGGTTATGTCCTATTAGTTTTAAACACTTTATTCACACAAAATCTTATTAAGCACAGCAAGTAAGACCTTATCTGGCCTCCTCAAGGCCCAGCTATATTTCCCAGCAGTAGTTCCTGAAGGTCCCTCCACAGAGACAGTCTGAACCCCACATTTCTACTCAAACCAGACTATATGATAGAAGGCAAAAAGGACCAATGAAGTATCGGATATAATGACTTCTTTTAGTGTATGAAGGCAAATAAAAGTTTCAAACTACATACAATCCTGGTAGGCTGGGGGCAATATAATAAATTTTAGCTGGACATGGTAAAATATATATGCAATCCTTCTAACACTTGGAAGATAGTGACAAAAGTATTAGCATTCCAGTTCAGTCTATGCTATATGAAAACCTGTCTCAATGTCTTAAATATGTATGTATTTAAGGAGATGGATGGGTTTTCAGATCTTTAGGTAACAAACTGGTGGGCCTTCCTTCCTTCCTTTCCCTCCCTCCCTTCCTGGAGACACTCTTATTATGTGGCTCTAGCTGGCCTAGAACTCACCAGGACCTGGTTGCCGTCAAACTCACAGAGATCTGCCTGTTTCTGCCTCCCCAGTGCTGGGATCAAGGCGTGTGCCACCACTGCCTGGCAGCATTACAAACTTTTAAGAATGAAATCTTTCTTGATTTGGGGCTTGTTCCATGTAACAGTTCTGCTACCCCAGGGCAATCCACACCCTGCCTCTGTAAACAGAGGGTTGGCAGGTAGGCTGTGGAAGAGAAGGGGATCTGAAAGGAAGTGTCTCTGACATGTGGCATGAACACATACAAAGTTTATAATGAAGTTTCTTACTAAAATGGAAGGACTGAGAAGTAACAATTCCAAACGGAAGGAACAAAAGTAAGAGTAGCATAAATACTTGGAGAACTCACGTTTATGTTCTGTGTGCTTCACTTCAGTATCTATGCATTTAGTATCTTGGAGATCAGTGCAAATTAGAGATACTGTTTTTGTTTTGTTTTTCGAGACAGGGTTTTTCTGTGCAGCTTTGGAGGCTGTCCTAGAACTGACTCTGTAGAACAGGCTGGCCTCAAACTCACAGAGATCTGCCTGCTTCTGTGTCTTGAGTGCTGGGACTAAAGGCATGTGCCACCGCTACCACCTAGCACGAATTAGGAATACTTTTGATAAAAATATTTCTGTAATTTTGTAAAACACTAACTTTACCATGTTGTTTCCCAAGACTTGTGTAGGAATGACTAAATTAAAACAGAAAAAGCCTTGAGACTGTACTACAAAAATAATCTATAAATAAATATTGCTAACAACTGGGTCTACTGCTTGATCATGCCACTGGCTCCATGCAACAAGGAAAGAAAAGAAATAGCAGCAATGGGAGGAGAACTGCAATTCTCCCAGAGAAAAATTAGTATTTGAAACTACCCCCTTTCCTTATAAAGCACACTCAACAACGCAGATTGCAAGATCTTAACAGCAGGAACTACCCAGGGAGGCACAGAGCAGGCACAGTGAAACAGTGTCACTAACTCACATTCCACTCCAAGCAACTTGGAGCTCCAAGTACGAGTTGTCAGAAAAACCAGTCAGAGACCACTAAATAGAACCACCTAGAATGTACCCACTGACACCAGGCCCTGAAATCTCAGCTTGCGGGGAAGAATAGTCGCCCTGTGATTACACTAGGGACTGATAGTTTCCAAATGGCTGGCCTTAAAATATTTCAAGAAGTGGGCAGAAGACAGAGGCAGCTCCTTCCCACTGCAATGTATTTCTAACATTGTTCAAAATAGCTAGCAACATGTTTCTGTTTTCTTGACAGAAGGCACTTACTGCTTGCTTGGCAAGAAAATCAGTGGAGAGGACTGAACTGCAGAGAGGCCACCAGAATCCTCACTGCAAGGGCACAAACACAGTCAGACCCATGACTGAGGTTCCTCAGAAGCAAAGCTTTCTAAATCTCACCTGTAATCCCAGTACTTAGGAGGCTGAGGCAGGAGGATTAGGTTCAAGGTCATTCTCCACGAGAGTCTGAGGCCAGCTTGTTTAATAAGAGACTCTGCCTCAAAAATAAAGGGGGGTGGGGTGAGACTGAAGAGACAGATACATGGCTCAGAGGTCAAGAGCCTGGTACCCATGTCTGCTAGTTCAAAACGGCTTGTAACTGAGCCAGCTGTGCTGTCACTCGCCTTTACTCCCAGCCCTTGGGAGGCAGAGGCAGGTGGAGCTCTGTGAGTTTGAGGCCAGCCTGGTCTACAGAGCAAGTTAAGGGACAGCCAGAGCTGTCTCAAAACAACAACAAAAGGCTTGTCAATGAAGCTCCAGGGGATCTGACACCCTGACATCTGTAGGTACCTGCACTCACATGCACATAACATGCATACATACAAATAAACATAATTAGAAATAGCAAAAATAAAGCTGGGGGGGCACTTTTGAGATAAGATTTCTATGTAGCCCTGGAACTCACTACATAAACCAGGCTGACCTCAAACTTGGAGATCCTCCTGCCTCTGTCTCTTGAGTGCTGGAATTAAAGATGTTTGCCACCACATCATGCATAAAATAAAAAGGCAACTGGGCGGCGGTGCCTTTAATTCTAATACTCGAGTTTCAGGACAGCCACAGCTACACAGAGAAACCCTGTCTCAAAGAAATCTAAACCCAAAACAACAACAAAGAGAGGCTCCGTGGATAAGAGTGACT